TCTCTCTCTCTTTCTCTCTCTTTTTCTGTCTTCCCCTCTCTCACTCATTCACTCACCCGCTTACTCGCTCACTCTCTCTGCGGCTGCCTACACATTTTCGCACGAAGCACACACAGGTACAAATCATGCATATTTACATGTGTGTTTGTGTATATATGTATGTATACGTGTGTGTGTGTGTGTATAAGAACATATATATATATATATGCACATACTCATACATACATACATACACACACACACACATTCATGCATGCATACATACATGCATAGATGTATGTTCGAATGTATGCATGTAGGTATGTATGCATGTATGTATGTCTGTGTGCATGTACATATGTACATATGTATGTAGACGTATGTGTAAGTGCTTGTTCACTGCATTTGTGCATGCTTTCCCTGACATTTCGCGCGGTTTTGGGGGTTCCTTATCAGAATTATAGTAGAATAGGCCCCAGAACCCTCCTAATCATTAAGGCCCCTACATCAGAGACTTAGATCTAAGGTCGGCTTCCCGGAGCAGCTTCTCCCTAAACCCTAAACCCTAAACCCCAAACCCTAACCATTAGAGACTTAGATCCTTAAACCCTAAACCCTAAGGTCGGCTTCCCGGAGCAGCTTATCATGCCAAAGCGCCTGCAGCGGCTGCTCGAGAAGACGCGCGACGCGAGGGGCTCTGTCGGTGAGTTTCTTGAGCTTTCGGGGTTTGACCAGGGGGGTTTAGTGCTTTCGGGGCTTTGACCAGGGAGTTTGGGTTTCAGGAGCTTGATGTAGGGGCCTAAAGAATTACCAGCACTATTTTGGGGGATCCCTATTGTAACTATAGACCGATCAGACGGTTTGCATAACCCTTGCGGGGTTTCGGGTTTAGGGTTTAGGGGGGGAGGGTGCACGCGCGGGACTGAGGCGAGGGTATCTACGCATATGATCTATAGGTCTGTTCTCAAAAATGCAGAGTATCAGTATAAATAAGAGAAACAGATACATACATCAACCACAAGATGAACGGATTGATTGATACAGGTAGACGTAATTATAAACAAACAAACAAACAAACAAATGTACGTGTAAACATTTAGAATGATTCCGTATCTATCTCAGCATCAGTTTGTGTTTTCAATGTGTTCAATGCCTATCTATCTCTATGTCTCTCTGTCTGTCCGTCTGTCTGTCTGTTCGTGTTTTGATAGGCATGCAAGTGTGTATGTACGTATGCAACATTCCTTTGTGTAGTTCTCTAAATTAGGGTCCCTTTGCGGGGTCCATTTTATAAGGGTGCCGTACTCTATTGGGGCCCAAAAAGGGACCCTATTTGGAGAACTGCCCATATAGAGATGAGGCATTGGGCCCTAAAGACAGCAGCAGCGTTGCGAACGTCGGTGTTTTTGCCGAGGCGTTGGTCGAGCGAGCGGGATGGCAGTGGCCCAACAGGTGCGGGTTTTTTTTGAAGGTTTAGGGAAACGGGTATAGGGGATTTCGGGTTGAATTACTGTAGGTTTAGGATGACATGATTATTCTTCTGAGGATTCAGGGCTTTGAGGATCTCAGATTACCCAATTCCAGTTTCCAAGGATAGGGTTTAGAGTTGGTCGCAATCACACGGAAGCTTGCTTCTGACTATGAGAAGGCCCCTTGGAAGGAGGAGAAGGTCGAACGCCCAGCGAAGCCCATTAGCCATGCTAGCAGGACTGCTAGTCTCCTGCAGCCTTGTGACAGGAATGAGCTCTACCTCCGCCATGCGGCCTGTGCTTCGGCCCGGAAGTAGGAGGGTCCGGGGTTTTTCGAAACTCGAAAGTCCGCTTCATGTGATTAGGTTTCAGGGTTTAAAGTCTTCAGGGTTTGGGGTTAGTTGTTAGTTTTGGCTTGGAGTTTCGGGTTTTGGGTTTAGCGCTGGGGGTTGAGGGTTTAAGCTTCAGGTTTATTTACGGCGGGTCGTTCGTCGTGAAGCAGTCCATGTTACAAATGCTGATCGTACGAAAATGCGACGATTATCTCAGTTTGTGTCGCTACACAAGGGCGTGTCGTGGTCAGCCTCACAGAACCTGTGTGGATGCCTGCAAGCGCACTGGTTCGTGGCTTCCAGCAGGCAAGTTTCAACTTGAACAGGCTGCCCATAGCTGGCATTGAAGGTTCTTGTTTGCAACTTCCTTCCTCAGAGAAAGGCTTGGATTCAGATTAGTCAGACTCCCGAGGTCGCTACGCAGGCTAACCCTAGAGCCTAAATCCCAAACAGGGCCCCTCATAGTCATAGTACCCTTACCTTCTCGGGACCTTCAGGGGAGCCAAGGTTCCTTCTCGCACGGCCCAGGTTTCTATATCCTGGACACAGTGCGGCTTTCCTTTAGTTGCCAGAGACCTTAGATGAGCTTGAGCCATCGTCAGCTTTCCGAAAGGGGGAGGCACAGTGTCGTGTTGTCAGGCTTCGAATCGGAATGTTGCTTTCGACATGAGTTTTTTAACCATCAGCTCTCAAGAAGTGTTGTGACTGTTGAGGTCGCGGTGAGACGCCGGCTGAACAGGCCCTCGGATAATGCAGGGTTGTATGTCAGCATGTACGAGCACTAGACAAGGGGATGTGCGCGACTTCGGCACCAGACTACTTGTATCAATGTGCTGAGACGCAGCCTGTACCAACCGACGAGAACAGAACAATCCCTCGACACCAATTTGCCAAGAAAGAGTTGTAAAGAGCACGGGACACTGTCACTGTAGCGGCTGTGTCGTTTTGTCGGCCCATCTAGGCTCAACAGCAAGCATCTTGGGTCCAAGTTCTTCGCAATGAAGTGTGCGGACCTCCCCTCAAACTTTGGGGTGTTCCTCGGCTGTAGCAGCCTGAGCCGCAGGTAAAATGCTGCATGAAAGTCCTCGAAGAGTTCGAGAAGTGCACCGTAGAGGTGCCATGGATTGCGAGTCAGGACTCCATCTTCGTCAACGCTGTTGACTCTACTACCACTGCTACTACTACTACTACTACTACTACTACTACGACGACTACGACGACGACTACGACTACGACTACGACTACGACTACGACTACGACCACGACTACGACTACGACGAC